TGCTAGAACATCTTGCTTACTCAGCCTAGTCAGGTGATCAGGTCATATGACCAAGGATGAGGTCATATGAGGTCATGCACAGCCATGCACAGCAGGTCACCTGACCATCCAATCCTTCCAGCAGGTTTCCAGCACATGCCAAGGTATACCAGCTACTTCCATGTCATAAAGGCTTAGTCATGTCTCTTGACCAAGCAATGAGCTGGTGCCCTGACACCTGCACAGGAGCAGCTGTTAGGGCAACACAGGCTGACTAAGTCTGCTCACCTAAGAGTGCCAGGAAGTGGAGTAGACCTGATGACTAAGACCTATCTACAGTATAGGTACCTGTGGATGATCCTAAGAGACCAAGTCTGAAGAGACAGTCCCCAGGCAGAGTAGGCCTTATATTTATACCTCTGTGGTGGAACCTGCCAGAACATCTTGCTTACTCAGCCTAGTCAGGTGATCAGGTCATATGACCAAGGATGAGGTCATATGAGGTTATGCACAGCCATGCACAGCAGGTCACCTGACCATCCAATCCTTCCAGCAGGTTCCAGCACATGCCAAGGTATACCAGCTACTTCCATGTCATAAAGGCTTAGTCATGTCTCTTGACCAAGCAATGAGCTGGTGCCCTGACAGCAGCATCAGTGGCCTCAACATGCAGCTCAGTACAAGCCGGGTTGCCAGCATAGGCCACAGCACTGGGGAGGTTGAGAGGGTGGAGGACGAGGCCAAGAGCCTTGAGGTGAAGGCCCTACTGGGCAATGTGCATATACATCATGTTGCCCATGGGTGGGATCTAACATACCACTCAGGTTATCTTGCTCTAGACTCAGGTTATCTTGCTCTAGACTCAGGTTATCTTGCTCTAGACTCAGGTTATCTTGCTCTAGACTCAGGTTATCTTGCTCTACACCTAGCCCTAGGGCATGCATGTGCACCTGGCTTAGATACTACATGCAGGCCCTATTTATTGAAAAGAGTGTTGAGTACTTCAGTAAAGTGCTGGGATTGTGATACAAACATGCTGCATCCTTTCCAAATCTCCCCACATAACCTTTGCCAGCTGGTGTGAGCTTATTCTGTCTAGCACTGGCATAAAGTGCTGGGATTGTAACACAAACATTCTGCAACCTTTCCAAGTGTTTGCACAAAATGTTTGGAAGCAGTTTGCAAGCTGCTAGCTGTAGACTTAGCACAGGGTTGGCCATCTGCTTGATCATGACAAGAATAGCCTCCTAGTTGGCATTGCAGTGGGCTTGTCAAAGTGAGTTCTAGGCTCTAGATGAAGAGCTAGATCAAACTCTATTGTATCACATCCCCCAGTCTCACTTCCCTGAACCAGCAGTGAATGATGGATTCACATCATCCAACGTGCTGAAGGCTTAGATGCCAACAAAAAGATCGCATTGAATTGGTGGAGATATGATTGTAAACTGCCCATGGTACTCAGAAATTGAATTCTGGCAGGGACTTGTGGTTGCACAAGTCTTCAGATATTTCCTCAGGTTGGTAGTCCTACCTGTGCACCCCAAGAGCCATAGCCAGAGGCAGGCCTTCTGCTTGCTCTAGAGCTAGATCTGGGGATGGGGTTTCTGCTCACACTAGAACTCAAGCTGGACGTGGCATTCACCAACTGAGACTTGGTCCAACCAACAGCTGCATGGGAAAGGGCCAGCAAAAGTAATAAGATAGTGCTTGCAGTGGGGATCTTGCTCTCATGCTGGTCCAGCTACGGGGAAGTCCTATCCGAGTCCGAATACAGTATACATCCGTGGGCACGTGGCCGGTAATCTTGGTTGCGGGTCCCGCCCTGGATTCCTGGATTGGGGCTGGAATCGCTTTTCGCGGGTGCGGACGCGGATTCGTGACGGGGGCGACCCCCGTCCCCGTCAGGGATTTGTGCCCATTGCTGTAAGGGCCAGGTGCACAACGACCCTACTCATCGACCTCTAACGATGACCAGCGTAGCATCCAACAAAACATTAGAAATGGACGAGGACAGTTTTGTGCCTTATGTCCCTGTCAAGAAGCGGAGAGAAGCACGTTTGGCGACAATTATTGGATCCTCTTCTACCAGTGCTGCACAGTCCCAGGCTGCTCAACGTGCTCGAGAGCGCCTCGAACGCGAGGAAGCTCTCGACGAGGAACGGGAGGAAGAACGTCGTCGTGAGCGGGAGCGCAGAGAGCGCACATTACTCGTCGAAGCTCAGGAAGTCCATCGGAGACGAGCAGAGGAAGAATCGAAGAAGACAGAGATAGAGAAAGAAGGCGAAAAGGAAGAAGAAATATTTAAGGCTATTCAGAATCGAAAGAAGTTGATGAGCGACCGGGAATTGGCGAAGGACGTACATTATACCGAGCCATTAAAGACTTCGTAAGGGTATTTATTTATTCTATTTTGATAAGAATCACTCAGCAAGGTATAGATGGCGACCACCACACTGGATACGTGAACAGTCAGAGAGAGACTTTGACCGATTACGAGATAAGTACCACATCCAAGTGGATGGTGAAGACATCCCGCCTCCTATAGAGACCTTTTCTGTGCGTTCATTTTGAATTTACATTTCCCAGTGATGATGACAATGCTCCAGGACATGAAGATCCCCTCTCCCCTGCTCAAATTCTTTAAGTCTAAAGGCATCAAGAAGCCGACTCCCATCCAAATTCAAGGTCTCACCACCGCGTTCGCGGGGCGTGATATGATTGGCATCGCCTTCACCGGGTCCGGCAAGACTCTCGTCTTCTGTCTACCCTTAATCATGCTCGCCATGGAGGAGGAGAAAAAGCTGCCATTCGTCCGGGGCGAGGGTCCGGTCGGGATCATCCTCTGTCCGTCTCGTGAGCTCGCGAATCAAACATACGAGAACGTTATAGCTTGGACTAAAGCATTGGAGGAGGGCGGCTATCCACGGGTGAACACCCTTTTATGCATGGGTGGAATCAGCATGGCGGACCAGAGTCATGTCATGCAACGAGGCATACATATCGTGGTGGCTACTCCGGGCAGGCTGATCGACATGCTGGAGAAAAAGCGGTTCACCCTGGAGGCGTGCAAGTATTTATGCATGGATGAAGCGGATCGGATGATCGATCTGGGATTTGAGGACGATGTGCGAACTATTATGTCGTTCTTTACTGTAAGTCCTTTTGCGCTTTAAATATGGAGCCGATGTTGACTGGGCATTCAGCACCAACGGCAAACACTCCTGTTCTCCGCGACCATGCCACGCAAGATACAAGACTTTGCGAAGGAGTCGCTCATCCAACCAATTCTGGTGAACGTGGGCCGCGCGGGTGCTGCAAACCTCGATGTACTGCAAGTGGTCGAATACGTGAAGCAAGAAGCGAAGATGATCTACCTTCTCGAGTGCCTTCAGAAGACATCACCACCCGTAATCATCTTCAGTGACAACAAAAACGAAGTGGACGATATCCAGGAGTACCTCCTACTTAAGGGTGTCGAGGCTGTTGCGATCCACGGCTCGAAAAGCCAGGAAGCACGACAATACGCTATCCGCGCATTCAAAGAGGGGAAGAAGGATGTCATGGTCGCCTCTGGCGTAGCATCCAAGGGACTCGACTTCAACGATATTCAGCACGTTATCAACTTTACCATGCCGAAGGAGATAGAGGATTACGTGCACCAGATTGGTCGTACCGGGCGTTCGGGAAAAACGGGCATTGCCACTACGTTTGTCAACATGAGCACGCCGGAGCAGACTCTGCTCGATTTGAAGTACCTGCTTATGGAAGCGGGACAGAAGATACCCCCGTTCTTGCAGAGCGTCGAGGATCCCCGCGCGGCTCAAGGTGGGAACCTCAGAGGATGCCCTGTCTGCGGCGGGCTGGGACACGGGATCTCAAACTGCCCCAAGCTCGAGGAAGAGCAGAGGCGGAAGATGGCCAGTCAGAGAGGAGGAGGGGATGCTGGCGGTGGTGGATTCTAAGAGGATGTATTTCTGGAGTTTGTTGTACGTTTGTAAAGGATCATTGTACAACATTTGCATATTCGATTCAACCCAGTACCCAGTCTACGTGTGTTATGTGTGTGCATACAATAATATGTACGACAATACCCAACGAAACCCAGCCCCGCGTACTCATTTCTTGACTGGCCGAGCGATGATCTTGACGTGTTTATCCTTCTCGTTGAGGATAGCATTGAAGCCCTTCTCAACGATATCATCGATCTCGATATGGCTTGAGATCAGGCCGTCGGTGCTCAAGCGGCCATCAGCAACAGCAGCAATCACAGCCGGGAAATCATCGGCGAAGCAGATGCAGCCAGAGAGCCATTTCTCGCCCAGTGCCATGTCGTTCAGCGAGATTTGGATTGGCTTCTCCCAGATGGCGACGTTCATGATCGTACCACGTGGGCGGACCGCGTTGATAGCGGTGGTAATGGATGCCTGAACACCAGCGCAGTCGAAGGAGACGTCAACACCAAGCCCGTGCACGGACGCCTTCTTGCATTCCTCGACGACATCGACCTGGCGAGGGTCGAAGACCGCCTTGGCACCTGACTTGATTGCCAGGGCTTTGCGCGATTCTGACACCTCGGAGAGGTATACTGCACGCGCGCCAATGGCCAGAAGCACACGCAGAACCATGATACCAATAGGGCCACCGCCGAGGACAAGAGCAGTTTGGCCCATCTTGATGTTTGATACGCGGACTGCGTGCCAAGCGACCGACAGTGGTTCCATGAGAGCGCCGATTTCGACTAATGGGGGTATCGGTATAAGAATAGAAGCGCGGCACAATAAACATACACGAAATGCTATCCGGGATATGATGGGCCCGGAACTGCCTGGCCAGCGCGTACTCCGCGAATCCGCCTGTATGATCGGCCAACCCGATCCATCCAAGCTTCGGGCAGCAGTTCTCTGCGCCTTCTATAAGCGCATATACAATGGAGGCAGAATAAACGGTGCACACCGAAGCCTTCCTTGCACATCTTGCACTCCCCGCAGGTGATAATGGGCTCGCTGTTACGTTTCAGGGGTACGTCCCTTGGGCTAAATACGGGAACACTCACGCGCAAACTCTCATCCCCACCGTATATTTCTCCTTATCGACATCTGGGCCCAGCTTCGTGATTGTGCCACTGAACCTGAAGACAACTGTGAGAAAAACGTCGCATATATGCAGCAAATGGACGGCGTACTCGTGACCCAAAGTCAAAGGCAAGGTGGCCTTCGTGATAGGGTGTGGCTTGTCGACGTTCGGGACAAGAACCGGGCCGTCGTGGAACTCGTGGATGTCACTTTAAGCCCTCAGCTCGTCGTTCAGCCCATAAAGGCAGTGACAACGCACGTTCCACAGATGCCACACCATTCAACCTTGATCTGGACCTGATCACCCGTTGGCTCGGGGACAGGTACCTCTTGGATCCGGATGTCTCCCTTGCCGTAGTAGACTGCAGCTTTCATGGTGGCCATTAGTTCTCGCAATGAAGTAGGGGGTGAGGTATACAAGAAAGATCAAGGCTGACATGTCGGATAATTTGCAGAGGGTCTTTTATACTGGGTGGGGGTAAGGTCCGTGGTATGGTCCGTGGAGAGCAGAGACGGTCCAGGCGTGTGTGGTTGCAGTGGAGGCTACGGCCCTTGCTCCGAGAGAGTCAGGTGCAAGGCACGACGGATCCGCACATCCATCGGACCGTTTCCGAATATGTTCCTTTCCCTTCGAACCACCCACAAACACGGAAAAGGAAATTTTAAACATAATGCTAGCAGTTTCACTCTTAAAACATACCGCAAGTCCGATGTAGCATCAATCTGCACGATCACCAACTTTCTACATCCCCGGTTTCAACATTGTTTAGACCACGGATCCTTCGGCTCGAATTCGTGCCGATGAATGCCGAACTGTGGAGAATCGCGGAGACTCCACAGCTCAGAATTATTTTATCTTCTTGAGCCCCGCAGAATACCACGTTGCAACGCGATATTACGCGTGTCATACGGCCTCAAGTCTTCGCTCATAGAATGACTCACCGATGGTGTTTATCAGTTACACTGTATCTCCAAAACCCATCGCTTTGACTGTGGAACACGTTAACCGATCCGTTCAACGTCCAATGTATTACGATTTCATCCTTGGTGCATTCGTCGTTTTATGTCATCCGTGCACGGGAGAACGGAGCCTCAGCCGATCGTTCAGGTTCACCCAACCCAATACTTCTCGCTGAAAGCGGGCTCCAGATCCCGTGGTGCTCCGGTTCGGCCCCGCACGTATAATGATAATTACTCTTGCCCCACGCTTAGCACCTCCCCAGCCGGCCGTAATCGGGCGACCGAAATTCAAAAGTCCATAAGACGAGGAAGGAACGTGGGTACGGTCCCTCCAGCGGTAAACACAGCAACAAACAGCTCTTGACGGTCGCGAAGTCCTCATCAGTCTCAAGCATGATGACGAGGCTGCTGATATGATGTGAACGCATTGACCATCTGGACACAAACCTCGACCTACCGCGTTCGGCATGCATAGACGGTATGGTTTGAAGACCATTCGCTTCGAACCCGGGAATCGGCCGAAGCGGTCAATCGTACTCTTCTAAATTCCCGAGAACGATGACCAATAGAGACGCCCGTTCATCCGCGGAGTGACAAGGCAATGCCTCCAGACCAGCCGAGGCACTACCACATGACACATGCTCATGCAGGTGGGTGCCAATTCGGACTCATACAGAAGAAGAAGACGATTAATAATGAAAATGAGGAGGTCATGAAGCAAGATCCTGTGCATCTTCGGGATGCGTTTATGCCAGCTGGCACACGGTTCGATTTTCCAGAGAGCGGTCTGAGGGTTGTCTTCGGCTCCGAGAGTGGTATAGATTCACATATTCATGTCTATCATGAGCACGAGTCAGTGTATTTATATATCTGCGGCTTCTGCAACTATTTGCTGCAGCTTGGGCATCGGGATAAATCCCACAAATCGTTGAACCGCCTTTTTATCTTTGAATATGATCACTGTTGGCAACGATGTCACCTGCGAAACTCAGTGGGTATCCATCAGGCTTCAGCTGAAGCTCGTACCTGGAACATCCCCGCCAACTGCGTTTGCTTATCCACATCAACCGTCATAAGATCTACTTCTTTCCCGTTTGTTAGAGTCGTGTCTGTCGTGAGCTTCTCCAATAACGGAGAGAGCATTCGACAAGGGCCACACCAGCTGTACAACATGTCAGTTCAAGCCTCACAATGGAAGCGGCCAGACGCACGCTGCGTAGAAATCTACTATCATAAGCTTTGAGCTACCCTCGTCCATTACGCGCTTTTTGAACACCTGTTAGGAGGGTCATTTCAGACCACCAAGCATCGCAGAACAACGGGACGCACATTCACGTCAGCATTTTCGAAACGCTCGAGTTTCCTCGATGTTGAAGCAAATGACCGCGTAGCCAGGCGGGAAGACGACAACGCTGTAGGCAATCTCCTAGAAGCAGCAAATATCGACATTGTGAAGTTGACAGCAAGGAGGAATGACAAGAGGTCACGTCAGAGATTGGGAAGGTAGCGCTCCGTTACGTGAACATCATGATTGCCGAGATTAGCAAGGTGGGGTTGCTTCCGCCCGATCACAACTCCCGATCGCCAAACGACCATCCCCTCCAGTTAAACAACAAACGGATTGTTTGCTACTATATCACTCCTGTCCTTACGAAGCACACTGGCACCAAAGAAACTCGATACTTTGCTTGGTATAATCCGCAGCCCAACGACTACGATGATGTCTTGGTCTAACTTCCATCTGAAGTCACCTACTTTATTGTTGTGCTCGAAATAATATTGCTATTCGAACATCTGTTAAGCCTGCTCTGATCAACACACTGTCTCACTCTTCGTCTCATCACACACCAAAACGCACCCCTAGAGAACGAGACTGATGCCGCCTACAAAAGCCTGACATATCGAGACTGGTCCTTCTCTTTACCCCTCTCTTTCCTTCCCCCATCTAGTCAGCTGCGCTGCACTAGATCCCTGCTCCCTCTCCCCTTTCTATACTAATCACCTTTCATTGCTCATCGCAGCTGTGCTGCCCTTCAACCACGCTCTCTCTTTCCACTGCACTTTCATCATCACATCCATTAAGCAATCATGGTTCAACTTGCGCTGGCAGTCGCCTCGGTCCTTGTCTTGCCTTCTCTCTCGTCCATCGGAGCATACGCTGTTCCACTTCCTGCTGCTATTGTCGTTCCAGAACAAGTTGTAGTGCATTCACCTGAGGTAAGGCGCATATATGCACCATCTGGCATCAGTGACTTACGATTCTAGAACGCAATGTCCGCCGAGTTTGAGGCGAGGTTCAACCGGCCAATGGCCTTTTATCGCGAACGCGAGCTGGCGAACCAGGAGAATAGCGGTTGGTCGTCTCGCCTCCATCGTCGGGTATGTGCTATCAGCATGTTCTGTTTTTGGGCTAAGGACTTGCAGAAACGCGCAGCCTTGGTTGCGGAGCAAAGCCTGTCGACAGAGTCAGGTGCAATCAACCCGGCAGCCGTTCAATTGAAGCCGACTTTCATTCAGCGCCGGTCCAGGCCTGTGAATCCAGTTGCAGTGAGTTTTAATCTCGACAGTCCAATATATGCGTCTAATCCGTCTAATGGAAGGCGCATATACGACCATCCAAGCCACGTTTCGCGAGCGGCAAGGGTCGCAGGCAAAATGATGTGTATGGTGGCATGTACACATCCAGTGTCTTGCATGGTGCCAATACCGGTATTAAAGCCAGACAAGCGAGCGCGGGACCAGCAGCAGGAGTTCCCGGAAAGGTCAGCGTCGTGGTATGTCGTTTCCGGTCCAATGTTATTGGACCCGTCTGATGTCGCTGGTATACAGGCTGCGAGCAACTCGTCCCAACCGAATGTCGACTTGACCATCGCCGTGGACCCAATTGCTAGTCTGGTATTTTCCCTGGACAGCAATTCGACAACCGGTGTTATCAAGGCGACTGCTTCTGCCGACAACCATACAACGCTTTACCTGACCCCCACTTCCTCCAACGTCACAACTTTGCCGGATCCGTCTACCCTCCTTGTCAATCTGAAAATGGCTGTCTTTGATCCGGACCGCGCAGCTCTGATTCAATACTGCGCCACCTATGATCCCTCTCCTTCGAATGGATCTTCCATCACAGCCGAGCCATGCCAGACAGTCACGGCAGCGCACTCTTCGCAAGTATTCATTTACTCTCCCGCGTCAGGTGTCGTCCATCCGCTCTGGTCTCAGGATATGGCCGTTGTGGGCGGTTTGGGAGGCAGCAACATGTCCTCTCTGTTCTCCAATAGTTCTGGGGATTCCGATACCAACGTGAAGATCACGAACACGACGTCGACGGTCATAACACAAGCCGATAGCCATTACATGACGAACGCGCTATTCTCAGCTTCGAACGCGACAACTCCCCTCGCACCGGACAGCCAGTCTCTGTTTGAGCTCGTCTTTGTCCCCGACTCTGCCGAATTCTTGGTTGCTGCTCCGGCGAATGTTACAGAGGGGCTCAATCCACATATGGCCATGGTTGGAAGCTATTCACAGTCGGCCCCACCGACGTTCACCGGTGCAGCTCCAACTATGCCTTTGGCTGTAAATGCGAGCTCAGTCCACTTAGCCGCCGCTCTTTTACCCATGATTCCATTACCAGACTCAACGGACGGCACACCGGCACCGACCCCCACGGGGAGGAGATGAGATGGAGCATGATACATATGGAACAACACAGTAATCATTGTAGGTAGTAGTACGTAATACAGAACAACATGCATATGGACGCATGCTGCTGTCTTCCTGCCCAGTTCCTTCTGCGACACTAGTACTGTTCCTGCAAATGAAAGTACATCTGCTGGTCGGTCGAGGCAATGACATATAAGTGAGTCTCATTGATCCATAGCCATCAGACGCTGCCATGCGCTGGCCGCATTCTTGGATTTTGACACCATCTTCTTTCCTTTCGCCTCAAATTTGATCGCCTCGTCATCATAGTTTTCAGCCAGCGCCTGTAGATGAGAAAGCATATCCTTGCCTGACGATGTGTGAGCATATATGCGCATATGATGGGAAAAGACACTTACAGGATCTGTCCAAGCTTTGTGCAGAGTCAGTCCGCAACTGTGCACGAGCAGAATATTGAGCTTGGAGCTCCTTCAAGAGCTTCTTCAATCTCGTCTATGTGTGTCGTCAGCACCGCTGAAAGAAGCACAACATGTTCACCAACCTGACTGTCGAGCATGACATGTTTGAGAGCCATCGCCCTTTCTTCGGCATCAGTTTGCAGGGCGTTCGCCGCTCCTTCGAAAGACTGCATTGACATCTTTCGCGCTTCATCTTTCAGAGATATTTCCTTGTTCGTATCTCGGATCATATCGATCGCTGGAGCGAGGGAAGACATCATGTTGTTCTTCATTTCCACGGAGAGCGCCTCGAACGGTGTTTTCAAGGAATCGATCAGTGCTTCATTCCGCTCTTGTTCGGTTTGTTCATCACTGGTGAGTTTTGTTAGCGTGGCGGAAAGGACGAGAACAGCAACGGACTGCGCTTGACCCTCGTCGACTAGGGTGAGTCCTGAATCCCATACGTCCTCGCCTTCGTCAGAACCAAGCGGACTCTCGGTATCGTCATCGCGCGAGTTCTGCTCAGATGGCGTATCCTCCTCCATAGGTATATCAATATACAGCTGTTTCTGGCGCTCCATCTTCTGTCTCCAACCAGGTTGCCACGCTGCAACAGATGGAAGAACCAGTTCCAGCTTGGTTCTCGACGCTCGAGACGCAGCAGGCTTGTGAACAGTGGACTGAAGAGGGGAGGCACGCGCGCGGCTTGCAGTTATATTGGCAACTATGCGCATATATGTAGGTTAGCAGGGTGTCTCGCCGCGGAAGCATGGCATCTCAGACCAGGGGATCTCGACGAACTGGGTGCGCCCACAAGCGCATGCTTCATTGACTTGGGGGGGTTGCTCTTCGTTTGTTTGCTGGACTTGGTGGTAGAGAAACGTTTAGATCGCGCCATGTTGGAAAGGGACAACATGAGGTCGTTCGAGGAAGAGACGCGTCCGGGCTCATCGAGCTATCGACCGCATACAACTCACGTGTTCCGGAACCTTTTGGCATTTCCGTGGGTAGATGGTGCTGAGCATAAAGGCATTAATATCCATTATCACGCCTTGTTCGACGGTTTATTAGTCCGCAGCATATCGTAAAACGCTTCCTGAGGAAGCTCGATGTTCCCTATCCGCTTCATCAATTTCTTTCCCGCTTTCTGCTTCTCCAAGACCTTCAACTGGAAGGGCAGTCAGCATATATGCGGATCTCCAGCAGATTCAATAACTCACCTTCCGCTCATAGTGTCCCCTAAAACACACGTCATGTCAGAAAATTGTACAAGACCCATATGCGTATCCCATACCCATACAACCCAGCAGTCACATCCTTCCGGAAAGCAGATAATCTACAGTTGCTCAGTGTCAGGGCCCAAAACTCAATCGCGGACAAAGCGTACGTCTCCCGCGCTAGTACTTGCTTGCCGATCGCCGCCTGAATCGCAACTTCAAACTGCTGCTTAGGAACGACCTCGCCTGTTTAGAGATCAGAGAGGGGTAGTGAGGCATATATATACAACTGGCTTACGGAGTTTCTTTGTCCAAACCCGGCCCACATGCAAGGCGTTGGATCGATGTACAACAATTGAAAGGGAATCAATGGGCCTGCCGTTGAGCAGAAAGTTGATTCTAACCATGTCACTGCGCTGATATCCAATGTCTTCATAACTGCATGAAACTGAGTAAGAGGCATCATATATCGGCAAATAACACATACTCGAAGCTGGCGAAGCCAGATGTCGTCTTCTTGAGCAGATCAAAGAAGTCGGTGACAATTTCCGCCAAGGGCATGCGGGTTGTCATCAGCACGCGCGGCTGATCACCTGATGTGTCCAGATAGGAGTGTTCTATGTTTTCCGCTCGATGGTTTGAGCAAAGCTCCATCATACCTCCTAGATACTCTGCGGGCGGATAAGTTGCGATGACAGAAAAATGGAGTTGAATCAAGACGTGCCATGCGGAAGAATGATGGTTGCCTTGACCATTGGTTCCTGAACTTCCTGAATCTTGCCGCTGAAGTCTGCTGGGTCTGGAAAGTCGCTGGGGTTGCTGATTATGACTTCCTTGCCCTTGTTGTCTATGACTGCCGGATGTTGGTAAGGTTGCTGCTTTTTAGAGCAGGGACTTACTTTTAAATGGGACAGTTGGATAAGTGATGAGAATTTGTTGGTCATACTCGTCCTCAAGCCTTTGACGGAAGACGTCCATGTGGAGAGTCCCAAGAAATCCTAAACGGCAGCCCTGACCAAGGGCGGTCGAGGACTCGCGTTGTATCGTCACACTCCTATCCGTGAGTGTAAGCTGTACATAGTCAGAGAGCTGGAGTGTGGCAGAATAAGCGGACATACACGCTTAATCGATTCTTCTAATTTGGGGAAGTCGTTGCTATCAATAGGATAAACACCCGCGAACACCATCGCCTTGGTTGGTTGAAATCCAGGTAAGGGATCATGCTTGCTTTCTCCAACCCTGAAGACAGTGTCTCCGATTTGAGCTAACCTCGATTAGTCATAGATGTATATTGGCGATACATCAAGTCTCTCGCACCTTCATTTGAGTTCTTCATGTTGCAGGCTGGTATCAGTGAGTGAGATGTCCAGATTATGGGATATACTCTAGCTCACCAAGATAACCAACTTGTCCTGCTTGCAGCATTCCGGTGGGTGTTTCCTCAGGGTGCAGAACGCCAATGTCCACGACATCGTATTTCTTTTGGGTATGATGAAGAAAGATCTTTTCTCCCTTTCGTATTCGCCCAGACTGTATGCTGAGAAGTGAAATCACGCCTCGATATCGGTCATAAGAGGAGTCAAATAGTAGTGCCTTTAGCTCGGCATCGACATCACCAGTCGGCGGCGGTATTCGATCTACAATAGCTCGCAGAATTTTGTCTACGCCCACTCCGGTCTTTGCAGATGCGGTCAGAATTTCATCGGCGCCTATACCGAATGTTGACTCTATTTGAGCGGCCACACGATCTGGGTCAGCCGCGGGTAGGTCGATCTAGAAGTGGTGTGTGGGAATCTTGGGGGAACATGCTTGCAGTTGGCTCACCTTATTTAGCACAGGAATAATTGTGATGTTTTTCTCCAAGGCAAGCATACCAACTGATATCGTTTGGGCTTGTACTCCTTCTGTTATACATAATCAGCAAAATCCTTCGTAGTATGGGGATACGACGAACGACTGGCATCGATCAGAAGAAGGGCGCCCTGACATGCAGCCAGAGATCGAGCAACCTCCCACGAAAAATCAACATGACCCTGCTTGACATCAGAATACATCATACATACTCTAAGATCATGAACGTACGGGGGTATCAATGAGATTCAGAAGAAATGTTTTGTCATTTTGTCGATGCAGCATGCTAGATTCTCAAAACTCCGGGAGATGCCCACCTCCAGCAACGAGAAGATTCACCTGACAGTTTGTGCTTTGACTGACGGAAGGAATAGGGATCATTAAATGTATTATGAAAATAAATCTTGTGTTCTAACCTGTTATCCCACGTTCTCGTTCTACCTTCAGCTTGTCCAGCATTTGTTGATTCGCCCCAGATATCTTAGCAACGGTGCCTGTCCGCTAAGACGAATAACATGTCAGGACCAATTTTACTTTCATCCCCAGAACATGCCTCTAATAACCTGAAACAAATGATGTCAGATATAACATCGCGGACAGTTTATGTCAACTTACCGATCGGCCAATGTTGATTTCCCGTGGTCTGAGTACAATGAGTTCTAGGTCCTAGTCGGGGTCTCGTCACAGCTCACCAATATGAGCAATGATAGAAAAGTTCCTAAGAGGAATGAACATCATGAACGCGGGGTTTCATGAAGGAAGGCATACCTAATCAGATCGACTCCGTAATCCTCCATTTGCATAGTCGCCTCTCCAAGCGTGCTCGACGCACATCTGACATGCCACCCTGTCCTCGGGCGTCGCACACAGGCAGGATCAAGGCGGTGCAAAATAACATCTAAACACCCTCTTCTCCAATTATCTGCCACGTTTCGTACAGCCGTGCATGAAGCGAGCATTTACTGAGCAGAGGGAGCCACTCCGGAGTTAGAGCGCTATAGAAGGAGTATAGACGAGAAAGGTAGTAAGTAGCATGTAGTAACGCGCGGGTCGGAGGCAAAAGACCCTACTTTTACCAAATATAGAAAGAGCTTGATAATGAACCAATGCTATGGACCTTGCACATGGCATTACTTAAATAAATAATTCTCTTAGGTAAAAATATGATATTATCACCCTACCACTAACCCTAACCCTAACCCCTACCCCACCCTAACCTTAACCACCCTAACCTGCTGGATGGGATTCTAACCAGTACCCTAACATCACACAGGTGCATAGGGCAAGAATTCCCTTTTTCTGAAATTATGGAGGTAAATTGCCTCTGCTGTGCACATTACTACACCTACATACTACAGTAATCCTCAAGGTTAATGATGTCATTGGTGGAAGGGAATTGTGATTGGTATTGAGGGGTGATAGCTGAGCAGAGAGATGTGGTACAGGGGGTCATCTGGAGGTCTGCTATCTACAAGAAGTCTGTGATGGATGTCTGGAGCATGTTCTCAACAACAGAGAGATGGATGGCACAGAGCATGGGTGGGCACAACTGGTATGCTTGGGCAAACTCTGGCTCTTCCCATTGCAAAAAGTAGTGGGACAATGCTCTGACTGACTCAAGTGCTTGATAATGGCTAATTGCTGGCTCAACATGTGCCTCTTCCTCTTCTTCTTCTGCCTTGGACTCCTCTGGTACCTGCACCAGCTCAATGATCTCCTTGTCTGTTAGCTCCTGTGCTGTGTTCTCCTCTGCCGCAAAACTGAGCATTTTGTTGACCTCCATTCTGTGTGCTTCAGGGAGGATACCATGGTCTTGAAGTTCTTGGATCAAGATATGCAGCCATTCCACTGCTGCACAGAGATTGTCATCATTTGCATAGTCTTCAGGCGGTGCTGCAGGTTCCTCAGTTGGTAGAAGGCAGCCATCCGGACCACAAGGAAAGACAATCCGAGTGTGATGCCAGCAGTTGGCAATTGTTTCAACCATGACTTCCTCCCAGGCTATCTGTGCCAACCCCATTGCTTCCTTGTGCTTGATGCGATAGATATCTAGCACACCTGCCATCTCCTGATCCAGTGCTCGCTCACAGTGTGCTTGCTTATAGTTTGCTTTGAAGTTTCAAATGCTACCTGCATCCATGTTAGGGCAACACAGGCTGACTAAGTCTGCTCACCTAAGAGTGCCAAGAGTCTAAGCAGGCAACAAGGAAGTGGAGTAAACCTGATGACTAAGACCTATCTACAGTATAGGTACCTGTGGATGATCCTAAGAGACCAAGTCTGAAGAGACAGTCCCGGGCAGAGTAGGCCTTATATTTATACCTCTGTGGTGGAACCTGCTAGAACATCTTGCTTACTCAGCCTAGTCAGGTGATCAGGTCATATGACCAAGGATGAGGTCATATGAGGTCATGCACAGCCATGCACAGCAGGTCACCTGACCATCCAATCCTTCCAGCAGGTTCCAGCACATGCCAAGGTATACCAGCTACTTCCATGTCATAAAGGCTTAGTC